GTCCGACTTTATATTTATTATTATAATGTTATGATTTATTATCATATTTAAATATGAATAATTTTTTTATCAATAACAATAAAGTAAGAAAAAATATGAAGAGATAAAATAAAAAATAAAAATTTTATTTGAGAAAAAAATTCTTATTTAAAAGACTGGAAATATATATATATGATCCAGTCTCTAAAGCATTGGCCAAAGGAAATAAGAAATTCCATTATACCAGAACTTTTCATTCGAAAAAAAAAACTAAAAATATAATTTATTTGATTCAATGGGAAATACATATAAAGAAAGTTTATTTCATTTTTAATAAATTTCTATTTATTTATCTTTAATTCAAATTTTAATTTTTTATTTATTTATAAGACACGAACTTTCCTTTAATAATGTCTCTATATATAAATTAAAATAGATATTCTTGAATGAAAATAATTTTCGGAATCATTATCCGTATCTATTTAAGAATAATAATTTAAGGATATTTTTAAAATATTTTATCTTTTATAATATTTTTAAAAAATAACAATATTAAAATTAAGAAAGGTCCAATCATTTCAAGATTAAAAATTAGAAGTTTAGAACAATTTTATTAGTGGATCTTAAATATAAAATTTATTATTTTCAAGATTTATCTTAAAAAAATTGTCAAAGATGAAAATTTGACTTTTTATCCAAGAACTTTCAAAATATGTAAAAAATAATAATTTTTTTAATTTTATATTCAAATTTTAAAGTTAATTTAAATTTCATAATAAAATTTAATAAAGACATTGAAAGACCACTTAAGTTATATTGTAATAACAAATCATCCAGTATTGTATTCCAACAACAATAGGAGTTCGACTAAGTCAAAACACATCGATATTAAGTTTCTAGTTGTTAAGGAAATAGTACAAAGTAGACAAATTTTCATAAAACACTTAGGGACAACATCCATGATAGCATATCCTCTAATTAAAGGACTTCTACCTAAGGTCTTTCATGAGCATATTGCTCACATGGGTGTTTTATAGTTTGAGAAATTTGTGGTTTAGTGGGAGTTAGTCATTTTCATATATTTTATGTTCTATGTTTAATTTCATGTATGTATACATTGATTTTTTTTTTTTTGACATATTTGGTTATCTATAGATATGCGATTTTTCGTTCATTCATTACACTTTGTACATTAAGGTTATTATATCAATCTCGATAAGTTAAAGTTTTGACCATTTGAAAATAGACGTGTACAAATCACCTTCACTTAACTTTTCATGCTACACATTTCATGATGAATCCATATCATTTGGTTATGTCAGGATTAATAATCATTGTTGGTTTTAGTTGCGATGATGCAATGAAAAGCTGGTTTGATTTTATATCCTGATATGATCAATAGACTGGACTTTTGGAGTATGCTAAAGGAATATAATGACAATTTTGAGCTCATAAAGTCTAACACATGTGTCACGTTGTAAGGACATATATATTTGTGACAAGTGGAAGATTATTGACAAATATTTGGTCATTTATATATATGATACATAATTTAAATGTGTTAGAGTCATTATTTATTAAGTCAAATAATAAAGTGACCATAATTATATATTATTACTCAAGACTTCTCAATACAATGACCACAATTTAACAAGCATAACAAGTCCAATCTACTAATCTTCATTAAGAGTTCTACAATCTTGATCAAAACTCATCAATGCAACAATTATAAGTTCAACGAGCATAGCAAATTCAACTAGCTAATCTCCATTTAGAGTTCTACAATCATATTCAAGATTTTTCAATGCAACAACCCCAAGTTCAACAATGTGCTAATCTCTATCTATATTTCTACACTCTGCTCAAAATTTTTCAACGAACAACTACAAGTTCATTTAGTATAACATATGTCATATTTCAATCTATCAAACTAAGTTTACTTAATTTAAATAATTATGTAAATATCGTTCATATTAATATTAAATTATTATAATTTTTAATTATATGAATAAATATTTAAATTTTATTGCTAGATAAATATATAAAGAAAACAAAAAATGTTATATTTTACGCATAGAACTAAAATTTATAAAAAAATATTTTTAAATATAGAAATTATACAATCATTGAATTTTGTAATCAATAAATATTTTTATCATAGAAATTATATTTTCAAATGGACTTAAATAGTTTATAAGCGATACAAGGTTATTTTCAGTTTAATAATTTCTTTTGAAATTTTTTAAAATTTATTTTAAAAATGAAAATGATAAAGTACGACTGATAACATTTTTGAAGTAAAATAAACTAGAGAAGTGATAATTATAAGTCATTAAAAATAAATTTTAAATTACATAAAGTAGTTTGGAATGAAAAGAAAAAAGAATAAATGAAATTAATTTTGGAATTATTAGTTTATTAATATTTACTTATATATAGAGAAATCTTACTATGTATGAGAAAAACGATCATATAAATGGTGTTTTTACTTAATCTTTTATATTAAATAATACTATCCTATCAATAAATTTTTTGTTCTAGATTGGGAAAGTCTCTTAATTTTTTATTAAGTCAAAAAGCACTATTTTTTATTTATAAATGGTGAGCTATTATTTTATATCATATTATTGTATCTATATTCTCTAACGTACCGTACAAAACAAACTCTTCCGATGTGTCACAATGTCAGTATGTAGTCTTGATACATTTCTTGTTGTGTATGTGTCTTTAAACATTTAAAAATGTTATGTATTGGGCTTATGTGGATAAATGGACCCTATATTTGGGTGCAGGTAAAAGTTACAGGGGCCCATGTACATTGGGCCTATATGGATAAATTGACCCTGTTTTAATTCAAAGTTATATATATATATATATATATATATATATATATATATATATATATATATATATATATATATATATATATATATATATACACACACACACACATTAAGATTAATAATAAATATTCATACAAAAAAGTAACCATAAATATATTACTTCTAAATATATTTTATTAGAACAAAATGTAATTAATCTTAGATTTGGAGATAAGATAGACAAAAAAAATATTTGATCTTATATTTTAAAGTGTTTAAAACTTTTTTTTCTCCCACGTATTATTAACTTCATGAGTTTCTATATTTAGACAAAATTGAATACAATTTTTTTTCTTGAAATCGTCCCATTATCACATGTGAGAATATGATGACTAGAGAATTTGGTTAATATAATAAAACGATAATTTAACTTTATATTTTAACAATACACTTTCCTTCATTTTTTTTTTCAATTTTTTGTTTCTTTCACCCTCAAGTTGTTACTTTTTTTTTTCGTAAAAATGAGTGTATAATTCTTATATATAACTGAATATTAAGTATAAATCTGCCTATGATGTCGTTCTCTTTTATTTGCAGAGGATTTTGTTTGTACGTCTTCCATTATCTGGCAAAGAGTATATTAAGGTCTAACATTATTTAGGTTTATCAAGTAATTGTTCTTAAGATAATTTTTTCATTAAATTAGTTTTTAAGGTGAGTTAAGCTCAATCATTCAGAAATTTATAAAAAAACAGTCTACTTTTAAATATTAAGCATTTTAAGACGATTTTGTAGGAATTAAAAAATACAATATATTTTTTTGTTCTTTATTCTAAATTTTTTATCTACTTATTTATCTTCTACCCTATATAATAAATATATGTATATATAATTTATTTAAAGATATAAAAATACATAAAATTATAATTAATAAAAAAAATATGAATTGTTTTCCGTGTGAAACATGAGTTTCTTCCCTTGTCAACTATTTCTGAATTTATTGAAATATATGATCAATTTCTTGCTTAATTTATAGATACAGGCACGAGTGTTTAAAAATTTAAAAGAATAATAATATTTTGATGATATATTTTTGTATTGTTATTTTAATATAGTTAAAATATTTATTAGTTATGCTTATAATATTATTTTCAAAGTTATTCGTCAATATCGCCAACCTAAAGAATTATGATTTATATTGATATATAGTTTTAGTATTACATCATCATCTGGAAATAATTAATATAAATTGCTTTTCATCTTGAAAAATTATAAAATATAGATTTTTTTATCAAATTATTTTTAAACAAATTTTTAATTTTATTTAGATAATTTTTTGTAATAAATTTTAAAAATTCATTTTCTTTCTTAATTTACTTTCTTTTATTTATTTTTTAATTTATTTGATGAAAAATCTATAAAAAAAAATTAAAACAACTTACCATACCACCTAAAAATTCTTCAATAAAAAATTACTTAAAATAACTATGATTTATTTAAATATCTCGTAAAATAACTTATATCAAATGCTCTTAAAAATTATAGATGAAAAGGTACACGAGCATAACTTTCCACGATAAAGTGTTCTTAACAAAAAATAACATTTTCTCTATACAGTACGTGTAACCTGCGTTTGATATATACTTTGCAAATGGATTATTATTTATAAAGAATATGTAACAATTTGTATATTTATACATATTTATATTAAAATGATATTATTTTCCATAACTGCTTCAGTAACACATTTTTCTTTTTTATAAAATTATTCTTAACGTTGTAATTTTATAATTTTTATACTATTTTCTTTTATTTTAGTAATTATTTTGTTTTTTAATTTTAATTACATGAGAAAAATCTAATCATAAACAACACTTGTATTTCCATTAGTATAAGTAATAAACATAAGAAATGTTTAATAGCAATGCAAACTAATTTTACCCAATTATTCCATCACAAATAATCACTGATGTATATAACTTTTAAAGTAATACTTTGCAACATTTTTTATTATTATTATTTATTATTGAAGAATAGATTATGTAAAGAAATAATGGGAGAATATAATTTTCAAATATACTATTCTATTGGTTTGGTCGTTCTCTGCGTTGCCATCAAAGCCTTCTTTCTTAAGTAGAAATATGACGAGGACGAGGTCTGAAACTTGGGAACCTACGCGTCAATCGCAAAACACAAAAAATGGGGATTGTGGAAGAAGCTCACAACGTCAAGGTCTTGGGATCGGGCACGCGCTACATAGTTCTGGCTCACGGCTTTGGAACAGACCAATCCGTGTGGAAACACCTCGTACCTCATCTTCTCGATGACTTTCGTGTGGTACTCTACGACAACATGGGAGCCGGCACCACCAACCCCGATTACTTCGATTTCGACCGCTATTCCACCTTGCAAGGCTATGCCTACGACTTGCTTGCTGTTTTGGAGGACCTTCGTGTTCATTCATGCATCTTTCTTGGTCACTCAGTCTCTGCTATGATCGGTACTCTCGCTTCTATTTCTCGCCCCGATCTATTTGCCAAAATCATCATGCTCTCCGCTTCCCCTAGGTACCACGCTCATTACTTTCTTCTTGTAAAACCTTTATATGATTCATTAATGACGCTGTATTTGACCTCCTTCATAACTACACTGTTCAAAAAGTTTTGCAGACTATTAAATTTTTCTTTTTTTTTATTCATTTTTAGCTAATACTCTTCACATGTTTGTTAAAAGGAATCTACCTTTATTAATAGGTAAGGTTCATGTTATAAGAAGCATAAAGTATGTTTATTTCTTTAATTAATTAGTTACACATCTAATATCGTATTATGTATCACTTTCAGCATTTTAACTCGTCTAAAAAATATTTATCATTTGAGAAAACAAAGAAAACACCAGGCCATATAAAAAAATAAAGAAAACTTTTCTGACAATATTTTCATTAATTAATATCATCCTTCAAAATAGTTTGAAAAGCTAATCATTTTCTTAACAAATATTCACTGTCTTATAAGAGAAATAATAAGAGAAAGTCGGTGCATATTTTCAATATTATTTTGTTTGTTTGTATATCAGTATTGAGTTGATTAACAATGTTGGATGTGGAATTTAATGCAAGGTATCTGAACGACATGGATTACTTCGGAGGGTTTGAGCAGGAAGACCTGGACCAATTATTCAACGCTATGCAGGCGAATTACAAGGCATGGTGCTCAGGGTTTGCTCCGCTGGCCGTTGGCGGGGACATGGAGTCCGTGGCGGTGCAGGAGTTCAGCCGAACCTTGTTCAATATGCGGCCAGATATTGCGCTGAGCGTGTTGCAGACAATTTTCCAAAGCGACATGCGCCAAATCCTCAACCTCGTCACTGTCCCATGCCACATCGTCCAAAGCAAGAAGGACTTAGCGGTTCCCGTAGTGGTCGCCGAGTACCTCCACCAAAACACCGGCGGCAAGTCCATCGTTGAAGTGATGTCGACGGAGGGCCACTTGCCGCAACTGAGTTCGCCCGATATCGTTATTCCCGTGCTGCTAAAGCACATTCACCTCGACATTGCAACGCAACAGTGAAGGATTGGAGAAAAAGTAAAAATTAGTTTACTTGTATTTTGAAGGTTATCTAGGACTGTTGATGATTGGTGGTGTGGTTTGGAGTGGTGTAGGGATTCCATTATTGGGGTTAGAGAAAAAAAAATTGGAGTGTGTCCGTTTCGAAAAGACGAAGGGATATGGGAATGGGGGCTGGAGATGCGGTGTGATGGTAGGTGATGGATTAATTAATAGCGGGAGTGTATTTAATAATGTCTCTGCAGTCCTGCACCATCGGGATGACTGGATCAGGATGGAGTGTAGCTAAAATTAAAGCTCCTCCCGTTCAATCTCTCGTCTCTTCTTACATATAATTACTCCTTTCTCTCTCGTAATAAACGTCACTCTCTTTGGAGTTAGTTATCTATAAATGTAGTGCCATCGTTACTGCTAAGAGGGATCTTCACCTATAATTTTGGCTGAACATAATATATATATATAATAAATGAACGAGCCCATGTCAGATAATATGAAAAATGAAATAATGTAAAACTTTTTTAAAGGATCAAAACTGTAAATCATAAATATGTATATAGCTTAAAAAATTTGGAGGGTACCTCTAAAAGACTAGAAGATCCACTCTTGTTTCTTGGATTGGTCATTATCCCTCTTCTTCATCTAGGGAATTAGATTGTCACTATAATATATTGGTTGTCGTTCACGTAGAGTTTTAATCCTCTTATCTATTAGTTCTGAAAAATTATATATATATATATATATATATATATATATATATATATATATATATGTATGAATTCTATCTCACTTAATAATAATTAAAACTAAATATATATAATTTATAAATATTATATTCTTTCAGACAATATTTGAATGTGATAATAAACTCTAATAAATTATTTATAAAGATATAAAAAACAAGGAATAAGAATTATGGAAAAAAAATCATTAATTTTTAGAGAATAATGTAAACAAAATTTATCATTTTTAATTATTAAATAAGTAAAAGAATAATAATCATACCATTATAAAATGACTTAAAAAAACTTATTTTAAAATGATTAATTATATATATATATATATATATATTTCATTTCGTTTAAATGAACAAAAAAGTAAAGCTAAATAACAAATAAAATATCTATTTTCTTTTGTTAATGAAAAAACTATTTTATTTTTATGTATCTTCATTTCTTTGTATTGATTTATTCGAAAAAAAAATGGATTTACACATAAACGATAATAATATAAGTAGATAATAATATAAGTAGACATTAACATTAAGACAATGGAACCTCATGATTAAATGTGAACATTTTTTTTCTATTAGAAACTAATATAATAATGAAAACTATGAGAGATCTTAGTAAATTTATTAAAGATTAAAATTATATTTTATTTAGTATCATTAGTTTTAAAATCAATTGAACATTTTATATATTTTTTATCATTATATCCTAGAGTGATGATATAATGAAAATTCAAATCCTGGTTAAGAATCATAAATAATTATTCCAATATTTCATAAGATGTGACTCTTTCCTGTTAATTACACTGTCTTTTTTTGGTCAATGGTTAATTTCTTTCGCATCATTTACCTTGTTTTTATAATAATAATAATAATAATATAAAAAAATATTGTTCTTATATTGTCAATGTTTTTAACACAGTAATTATGGGACAACAACCAAAAGTACAGAGTAATTGAGAACCAAATATATTTTTAATAAAAATTGTAATTAATATTTGTAATAAAAATTGATGGCTTTTCATTAGATTATTTTCTTTACTGTGTTTTTTGGTCGGTGTCTAAAGACCCGGATAGAACATTTTCAACTTTTTAAAAATTTATTTTAAAATTTTGTCTTACATTTTTTTTTGTGTTAGCGAGGTGTGATTTTCATTAGTCCTAGTTGAGTGTTATTAGGAACATTTTTTTTAAAACAACTTGAAACGTGTAAAAACACTTTCGTATTGAAATGTAAAGAAAGAGGGGAAAGTTCTCAGTATTCCTCTACACATGAACTCACCTGTGAATCCACTCACTTATGGCGAAAGAAAACTCCAAAGAAAAAAAAAAAAAAAACAGAAAACATCTCAATGGAAAACAATTTTTCTGCTTCAAACTTATTAGTGTTTTTGTACACACGGATTGAAAATTATTATTTTCACTCTTAACACTTGTATCGTTTATGCTATTAATCATTATTAAAAATTTGGTTTTGGTTTTCTCGATGTAACTTTCGTGAGAACCAAAAGGAAACGTGGAAAAAGGAAAATAAATAATCCTTTGCAAATTGACATTTCTTAACTGACAAATATGCTGGTTGATGTTATCATGTTACACCCAATTGGGAAGATCTTATACCAAACATCAACAGCATATTTTAACAAAAGAGGATCATTATACACTGATGGTATCGTGTTACATAAAACACGGGAGATTCTGTACCAAACATCGAGGTCATATTTTAATACAGTATTATCATCTTACACAAGTTTATTAATGGTATATTTGATAAGAAGAAATAAAAGCAAGAAATAAAATGAAATAAATAATAACAACTAAAAATAATGTTATTGTAGTAGTAGAAGCAGTAGTATCCTATAATGTTATTTCTTTTCTTCAAAATATAATAAGTTAACTTTACGTCAACAAAATTATCAGTGTAAAATATATATATTTTATTTATCATTTTTCATCTTACAAATATTCTTAAAACATAAAAATACCTTTACAATATAGAGTTAAAAATACTAGTTTCAAGGGAATCTTGACCCAACCTAAAATGAACAGAAACTTTGTAGAAACTTACAACTAGAAAATGTAAACTATGGGATTTGAGAAGCACAACAAAGAATTTAATGTAGGATAAACCTGGCAAGCTTACTAACTGTAACACGCTACATTAAAATATAAAGTAGCTAGATTAAAATTCATTAAAATTTCAGAATATTTCATTTTGATTCTTCGTTTCACAATTCTTTATACCTTTCTTGTTAGCTTTGTCGCCACCTTCGCGCTGGCAAGAAAGGAATCAAGAAAACCACTTTGGTTGCGATATTTAAAAACAATTTTCGAATTATTCATTATTCTTTCATTAATCACGTTTCCATGCAATTATCATAGACCACCCGCACCTGTATTACACATCCCTCCATCTTTTTAATTCAGAATATCTTCTCAAAACTACAAAAAAATATTGATAATTTATTGCTGCGGAATGCAACTTGACCATGTTTCGTTACGTAAATTACTTCATTCCATCCTATATTTATGTATTTATTTGATTTCATCCTTATATTATTGACAAGTTTAATTAAGTTTCTTAATTTTAAGTTAACTTTGTTAGAATTAATTTAATTAATTCATTCCATTATGTGACTCATGTGAAATATAATAATAGGCCCAAATGTGATTTAATAAAATATGAGGACCTATTGGTTATTATGTGAAGTTAGAATAAAATAAAGTTTTTCACGGTAAACCATCAAGAAAGCGAAGCGTGAGAAGAGAAAGAAAGACAAAGAGATAGATTGGGAAAAGGAGATAGGAGAACAAAAAGATCAAAGAAAAGATTCTCATGGATCAAGGTTAGTCTTCTTACTATGATTCATGTATTGGTGTATGTAAAATTGTGAAAATCAATAATCTAAAGATCCTGTAGAGTAGTTTTCTATAATGAATTAAGAACGTAGGAAAACTAAATAATGTCTTACATGTGGTATCAGAGCCCAGTTATTAGATTTATGATTTTCCTTTTATGAAAGTTTTTCCTAAATTATGTTTTTCCCAAATTAAGATAAACCCTAAAGGTTTTTTCTAAATTATGTTTTTCCCAAATTAAGATAAACCCTAATTATGAATTTAGGGATTTCTCTATCAGATTAGTATGAACCTAATTATGCTTTCAAGTTCAAATTGAAACCAATTTTATAGCCCCTATGTGTGAATGAACCCATAATTGATTTTAATTGAAAAGACAAATGACGTGATAGGGTTAGGGTGAATCATGTATGAAATTAGTTTTATTGTATATTATAATTATGATGAGATGTTATGATGAAATGTTATAATTATGATGGAACAATGGTAAACTGTAAAGTTGATAAACTTTACGCATAGAGAGCACGTGTTAAACACAGGTTTCATATATTATATTATATTATTTATAATATTATTTTGTAAGTACATATTTTTTTTAGTGAAAGATAATTAAAGAGTTATTTCTTTGTTAAAGGTACTTGTAAAGTAATGTAAAGCTTTGTTAAAGGTACTGTAAAGTAATGTAAAACTTTGTTAAGGGTACTGTAAAGTAATGTAAAGCTTCGTTAAGAGTAATGTAAAACTTTGTTAAGAGTACTGTAAAGTAATGTAAAGCTTTGTTAGGAGTAATGTAAAGCTTTGTTAAGAGTACTGTAAAGTAATGTAAAACTTTGTTAAGAGTAATGTAAAGCTTTGTTAAGAGTACTGTAAAGTTTTGTTAAGGGTACCTTAAAGTTTTGTTAAGGGTACCTTAAAGTTTTGTTAAGGGTACCTTAAAGCTTTGTTAAGGGTAATGTAAAGCTTTGTCAAGTGTACTTTGTTAATGGTACTTTTTTGTTAAGGGTACTTTGTTAATGTTCTGTAAAACTTTGTTAATGTACCTATAATGTAAACATTGATAAATGAATGAATTTTGTTTTGCAAACTGAATTGTATTGTTTCCGCTGTGTTTAAATTACTCATAAAAGTTTTGAATGGATGACAATTTCACTTTTACGTGAAATGCAAATAAAGTTCTTGGATTGAAAATCAATCTTAGGATGAAAATTGAAATTATGAGTTTCAATTTTATTTATGGCACATAATATTTTATTATGTGAATAATGTACATATTAAAAAAAAATGCTATGAATGGTTAATAGCAATTAAAGATGTTATTTATTTGAAATTAAGCATGATAAATTTTGTTAGTCACCAAAGTGGCCAAAATTTTAAGGTTATTTTGATTTCAAATTATTAGTGATTTTATTTCAATTAC